TTCTAAAACACATTAAGTTTGTGAAACTCTTAAAGCAAACCCGTTTGCCATCAGGGGGTTAATTTATGTCTCCTGAAGTGGATCAGTCTGTTTTTGTAACCAAAATATTTTCTATTTAATCTATTGGAAACGCAAATCGCTGACAATGTCAGTCGCACAAAATGTGCATTCGGCCATCACTGCAGTTTATAATTTAAATATTTACAAAAACGCATTGATCCACTTCATAAGACTCGCATTAACCCCCCGGGCGGCATATGTCTCAGTACAATTATAGATTTATCCACTTTTGGAAGATTCAAAAATCACTATCCACACCATTTTACAGCATGGAAGTGCTAGGACAAAAATTTTAACTGATCTTGACTGTGTTCATCTGACATTGAAATTAATATACAGAGAAGATGGCTTGAGGGTAAGTAAATTATGGTTTCATTTTTCATTTGGGGTGAACTATTCCTTTAAAGTTTACAGCTATGTCACACAACCTGCTTTCTCAAATACTCTTCTGATAAAATTATTCCTTGAAGTTAAATACATTGAAATAATTAAATGGCCAGACCAGAGTACTGATATAAACCTAACTAAAAATTTTTGGAAAGTCCTTGGTGAAAAAGTTAAGACTAAGAAACACTACAGCTGGTGAACTGTGAAAGAGACTGAAGAAGAGTGAGCTATACAGTAGTCAACATTTGAAGCGGATCATCACCTTTTATTACAGTTGTACTAAAACTATTGAACAACAGCCATTCTTGTCTTAGGACCATTTTGAAAAACGACTTTGAGACACTTCAAATATTGACCACTATATATACAATGGTAGATCTATTATGTAAATGGATCACATGTTGTGTTCATCCAGTCAAAATCATTTGAAACTTCAATATGCAAGTATGACAATGAATCCAGGGTTTAAGAATGCACAATGGGAAGCATCAGAGTACAAATACTCAGGAGTAATTATGAGCACTGCGAAACTTGTAACATGTAAACCCTGGACTCTGTTACCTGGGGTTTAGAATGACTTAGTTAACTATTTCAAGTGTGAATGCTGGGATATATTGGGTTAACCGTGGAAACGCAGCAGCAACTCTAATTCAGTGGAAAATTAATGATAGTTTACTACTGCATACATGAAAGAATATAGCATATTATTGTAAATACTATAATGTTTTTAAACCATACTATAGTAAACTACAATTTAACCATAGTTTTGTTGCAGTAACTGTAGTTCATCCATGATATCTGATATCTAACCCCAAAAAAAGAAGATTATCACAATGTTCCACTAATAAAGCGATTTAAATTGATTTAAATCTAATTGTCTTAAGGGATCAAGAAATATGTGGTACTGGTATACCTGTCTTTAAATTACAAATGTGAAACATTCTTTCACCTGGTTTTAACCCTTATTGTGTATACAGCTAACCGTATTTGTTAACTTCATTGAGATTGATTACAATTAATTTTATTTCATAAATGTAAAATGTCTGGAATGTTTTGTAAACACTCCAGGGTTTTTTTCAATGACCATAATGCACACAATATACTTACACTAAGGAGAAGATACTGTTGAATATAGTCACTATTTTTGTTTTATGTGCGCTCAAAAGTATTTTCGTAGCTTCTTAATATTATGAAGGCATATGGTCTGCTTTCAGGACGTTTTTCTGTAGTTTTCTGGACTTCTGAACAGTTTCTGTCACTGTAGGATGAGGGAGCTCTCTGATATCACCTAAAATATCCTAATTTATGTTCCAAAGATGAACAAAGGTCTTGGGATTAAAATGACCTGAAGGTAAGCAATTAATAATTTTGCACACATTTTTGTTTCATTTATGGATGAACTAACCTTTTAAATTAACTTTTTCATTTTTGTCATCATTCGCAGTGGTGGAAAGAGTACTGAAAAAGCATACTTTAGTAAAAGTACCCTTACTTGCCTAAAAATGTAGTGTGAGTAGAGTAAAAGTACCTGTTGTAAATATTACTCAAAGTAGGAGTAAAAAGTAGCCCTTTTAAAAGTACTCATGAGTAGTAAGTTTTATGCTGTTAAAAGGTTGATGCATTTACATGTAATTTGTTAATGTGTGTGTAAATGTAACATTTTGTAGTGCATTTAGTTATTGCCCAGCAGGCACACAACATCATACGACGTTAATATTAGGTTAAATTTAGGTTGTGATCAATGTCTAGCTGGGCTTCCAGCTAACTCTATCAAGCCTCTTCAACGGCTCCAGAACGCAGCAGCACGAGTTGTCTTCAATGAACCTAAACGAGCACATGTGACTCCGCTGCTAGTCCGTTTGCACTGGCTGCCAGTTGCTGCTCGCATCAAATTCAAAGCTCTGATGTTTGCCTACAAAGTGACTTCTGGCCTTGCTCCTTCTTATCTGCTCTCACTTCTGCAGATCTATGTGCCCTCCAGAAACTTGCGTTCTGTGAATGAACGTCGCCTCGTGGTTCCATCCCAAAGAGGGAAGAAATCACTATCGCGAACGCTCACGCTCAATCTGCCCAGCTGGTGGAATGAACTCCCTAACTGCATCAGAACAGCAGAGTCACTCGCTATTTTCAAGAAACGACTAAAAACTCAACTATTTAGTCTCCACTTCACTTCCTAATCTGCAATTGCCTCTGAATATCACACTAACTGTACCCAAAAAAAAAAAAAAAAAAATTTACTAATACTACTAATACTTTCCTTCTTAGACTTTACAGACCTGAAACTTGCCTATAGCACTTATTCATTGTTGCTCTTAGTTGTGTAAATTGCTTCCTTGTCCTCATTTGTAAGTCGCTTTGGATAAAAGCGTCTGCTAAATGACTAAATGAACTAACAAAATGTAAATGTAGTCAACGTCTAAGGACAACATTATTTTGATGTTCAATAATGACATCAAATGACGTTGATATTTGGTTAATTTTAGGTTGTTAGAAAGTGACCAAAATCCAATGTTGAGCCAACAACTTAAACCAACATCCTATTGTTTTTAAATACTGACATTTATTCATCAGTTATGGCAACCAAAATTCAGTGTCTGATAGATGTCATAGTGGTAATGTTGACACAACAAGCTGTAACATCATTAGACGTTGATATTTGGTTGGTTTTAGGTTGGGCATTGGACATTGACTTTGGGCTGAGATGAGTTCTGATGTAAACCTGATTTTCATTTTCAAACAAAATGCAACGTCTCCACACTGTTAGGGTACAATTTCAATCTGATGGCCAATTGACGTCTTGTGCCTGCTGGTTGTTTAAGGCCATTTAAGTCATCATACAGTAAATATCCATCATCTTCTCATCAGTGACATGCATCTAAACCAGGGGTGCCCATACTCGGTCCTGGAGGGCCGATGTCCTGCAAAGTTTAGTTCCAATCTCAATTAGACGCACCCGGGCTAGCTAATCAATCTCTTACTAGGCTTTCTACAAACATCCGTGCAGGTGTGTTGAGGCAAAGTGGGGCTAAAATCTGCAGGACATCGGCCCTCTAGGACTGTGTTTGGGCATTCCTGATCTAAACAGTCTCTTGGTCAATGCATATAAAGATTTTAAACATCTTCTTGGACACTTAATGCTTCTAAACAGTTTGTTGCAATGTAACGTGCACATGTCTTGAAGTAGTTCATTATGATGCAATTTACCTTCTATGTGTGATTTGATTGTACAGGAATTACAGGACTGATTTTTCTAATTTCCATGAACAAGAAATATTAAAGTAGCGACTGCAGGTTGAAGAAAAGTAGTGAGAGTAAAAGTACAGATACATCACTAAAAATGTACTGAAGGAAAAGTACAAATTTTTAAAACTACTTAGTAAATTACAATTTCTGAGAAAAACTACTCAATTACAGTAACTTGAGTATTTGTAAATAGTTACTTTACACCACTGTCATTCGGACATAAAACAGTTCCTTGAGGCTGAAATTATGAAATGGCCAGACCAGAGTCCTGATGTAAACCTGATTAAAAATCTCTGCTAAAATCCTTGACAAAGTTATGGCTAAGAAACACTACAGTTGGTGATCTGTAAAAAAGACTGAGGAAGAATGATATGTACAGTAGTGAACATTTGAAGCAGATCATCGCCATTTATCAAAGTTTTGCTGAAACAATTGAGCGACAGCCATTCTTGTCTTAGCCATTCTTCCACTTTAAATGTTGACTACTGTATATACCATTATGTAAATCAAACACTTGCTGCTTTTATCCAGTCGAAATCATTTGTAATTATTTTGTAATTAATAACACACACACACACACACACACACACACACATATATATATATATATATATATATATATATTTTTTTTTTTAAACTAACCCTTTAAATTCTCTTAAAAAAAAAAAAATCCTAAATTTAACGTAAAATAGTTCCGTGAAGCTAAAAACATTGATATAATACAATGGCCAGACCAAAGTCCTGAAGTAAACCTGATTAAAAATCCTTGGTGACAAAATTATCGCTAAGAAATACTACAGTCGGTGATCTGTGAAAGAGATTGAAGAAGAGTGAAATATACAGTAGTCAAAATCATTTGTAAGTATTTTGTAATTAACATAATTTTTGTTTCATTTTTGGATGAACTAACCCTTTAAATTAACTTTTTTTTTTTTTCATCATTCGGACATGTGAGTGGTGTAAGTATCTAAAGCGTCACTTCTACATCTGCAGTGAGTCTCCCTTGCCCACCTGTCAGACGGACACCCTTCTCCACGCTCAGTCATGGGACGAGTAAATAATTCAACACTCCATGCGTATCAGATGTGGTCTTCTCTCTCTCTCTTTATTTCGTACTCCCTCTCTCTCGTCCTCTAATAGGCATCAACAAGTCTCTGAAGACATCAGGAGAGTGTGTTATCTGTGTAATAACTGCAGCGTGAAAACTTTCACTATCACAGGTATGTAAAGAACCCTCTTTATCTGTTAGTAATTCTGCAGTTGATCATTGTTGCTAATGTTACATGTGTATATTTCCTCTCAGAAACAGGATGTCTGGAGTGAACAGTGACCTTTTACACAGATCAACTTTGAGTGTTTATAATGTGAGTGTTCTGCCTACAAAAGACTGTAGTGTTTTTGAACTTTACTATAGTAAAATGTGTTATGCTGTATATGTTTTACAAGTCTTTGTTAATTCAATTCAAGGTTACTTGTATAGCGCTGTTCACAATAGTTATTTCTTCAAAGCAGCTTTACAAAAAGTGTACATGATTACATATTAATCAAATTCGCTAAAGTTAAGGTTATTAGTTGCCATAACTTTATTAGGTACTTATACCTTTAATTAATTAGGTACTTAAAGCTTTCAACTTATTGTATAGAAACATAGTTAACCTGCAGTTATATAGTATATGTGATATCGTATATTTGGTACAGAGTATATATACACAATAAAACCTCAAAAGTTAAGGTAACTCAAACCATTTAAGGAAACTGATTGGAATAAAATATTTAAGTTCAGAAACTAATCCTAATGAGTACTGTGAATGTAATTTATTTGAGTAAATGAAGCAGTTTGAGCACAGTAAAATCCAATAAATGAAGGGAACTTAAACCAACTGAGTACTGTAAAACCAAATAAGTTAAGTCAACTCAAACCGTTTGAGGAAACCAATTGCTACAAACCATTTAAGTAAAAAAAAAAAAAAAACCTATGTGAGAACTGTGAACTTACTTCGTTTAAGTTGAAGTAACGAGGTATTTAATTGCCTTCAACACTGAGTTCAAAACTCTTTTCAAATAAGTAGTATTAACTTTTCAGTTGATTTTGCGTTAACTAAACTTATTTTATTTGGTAAAATTGACTGATGGGTTTTACAGTGTATGTGTACATGTTCAATGAAGTGTATTTATGCAACAGTATTCTTTATAATTAACTGATAACCCTTAATAAATACTGTAGTTTAGTTTTTACTAGAGTAAACACTGGTGTATTATAGTATAAAAAACTACAGTACTGGGTAAGTTGTTTATATTATTGTAGTATTTTATAGTATAGTAGTAATTATAATGTATTAACATGTCAACTGAAATTACAACTATAGATCTACCACAACAAATTGACTCGTACTTTACTATAGTATGGCTCAAAAACCCTATATTATTTACTATACATTACTATAAAAAAAAATTCATATGTCTGTTCATTATTATTCTGTTTATTATTAATTACAATGCCATATTAATTTTAATTAACGAGAATATACAACCACACATTCTTTATTCAATTATTCAACTATTATTGGTTGAATAAAGTCTTTCATCTGCATGCTATAGTGTGTGGTTATAGATTAGAGTTATATAGATTAAGTAGTATCTTTAAAGGTATGTGTACAATTTTTAACATCATATTAATTACAGTAAAATCTCTGACATTGATTTCAATCATTGAACACATTATGTATACTAATATATATGACGTCAAACCTATTATAGTCTCTTTTTATATGGAATGTTTATTTTATATTGTTTATTACAGCGGTCCCTAATTAATCGTGGGAGTTACGCTCTAAAAAGTAGCCCACAATAGGCGAAATCCGTGAAGTAGTCAGTTTTTTTTTTTTTTTTTTTTACAATTATTATGTTTTAAGGCTGTAAAACCCCACCACTACGTTATTTTCTTAAATAGGCATCAACATTTTCACACTTTTTTTCTCGTTTAGACATTCGCATAATTACTATCCACTTTTTGTACGATGGTTAGCTTCTTCCGCTGCTTTTTGGGTGTTACCATGGGTGCCTTTGACGGTGCAAAAAGTTTCGTCATCATTGTGGGGAGCAAATTTGCAATCATACAGTATAGCACTTCAGAGTCACACAGCTAGCAAAGATATCAATTTGGCAAGCTGAACACGTTCTGTACTGTACAGGAGGTACGGCACGGAGGACTTTGATTGACAATGGTCTACAGCCAATCAGGACGCACAACACAATCTGCTAATCAGGACACAGAACACATTACGCTTAAAAAAAAAACATGTCAAATTGCAAAAAAATCTGCAAAACCGCAAAAGGTGAACTGCGTTATGGCGGGGGACCACTGTATACTTAAAAAAATTCATGTCCATTTAAAATATAAATAACAATCATTCTAATATAAAACGGTACTTCTTGCTAAATGTTCCATTATAGTTTATATAAGGGATAAAGTACATCCTGAAGGTTGTTATCGTAGAATAAGGCCCAACCGACTCGTTTATCAGCAGCCTTACGCAACGCAAAACACTGTTGTATAAGACTGATGGCTGTATTTTGCAAAAACAATAGTTTGGATGTACTTTATCCTCCTTCTTACACAGCTTCTTGCGACAAAACCTAAATATTAGACAAAACGTTGTTCTGAGCCATAATACTTTAGTAATTCTTGAATTAAATGCAAAGCTGACAGAAATGAAAATTACTGAAATCAAAAATCAAAGGGGGCCTAATAATAATTCTGACTTCAACTGAGTGTCCTCCATTACATTTACCCTCCTAAACCTCACACCCATCCCGGACGAGCCCCCATATGTAACCCACCAATCCTACTACACTCAGCCTGGTCTAAACTGAGATCGAACCAGCTAATTATTAATATTATTTTTTGCATGGGAGTCAGCTGCTCTAACAAGGAGGCTAAAGTCCTAGTCTGTCGCTAGAACATCTTTATAAGTTAGATGAACGATGTTTACCTGCATAGCACTTCGCTACCTGGCCTCCGTTAGAAACATATTCAGTTAAAGTCAGAATTATTAGCCCCCTTTGATTTTTTTTCCTTTTTAAATATTTGCCAAGTAATGTTTAACAGAGCAAGGACATTTTTAAGGTATGATTGATAAGTCTTATTTGTTTTATTTCGGCTAGAATAAAAGCAGTTTTAATTTTTCAAACACCATTTTGAGGACAAAATTATCTAGTAAAATATTGTTTACTGTCATCATGGCAAAGATAAAATAAATCAGTTATTAGAAATTAGTTATTAAACTATTATTTTTAGAAATAATAGGTAAATAATTCAGGAGGGCTAATAATTCTGACTTTAACTGTATGTATGTAAGTATGTATGCATGTGTGTGTGTGTCTGTGTCTGTGTGTGTGTGTGTATATAAATAAATGTCGCAACTGACTAATAAGATTCAAGTGTTCCAGTTGGCTGTTTAATAATTTGAGATACTAATTAGCTAATGCTAATATTTAAAAGCATCTCAGAGTAAATGTTGACAGTATGATGGTGTTGTTTTGGTTTATTCAGAACCTCATGGATCAGTTTAATCCTGGCTTGCAAAAGCTGGTCACTTTAGGAAACAGCTACATCAAAGCTTTTCAAGGTAAGCATGTTGTGTGTTTTAAAAACAAATGTATGCAAAAGCAATGTTTGATGCATTGAAGTTTTTTTTTTTTTGTCTGTTTTGTTTTGTTTGAGTGTTTTGTTTTGTCTGATATTTATGCTGGTTTATTTTTTTTATTTTTTGTTCAGTTTTTTTTTTTTGTTTTAATTTTTCTTGTAGGTTTGTGGTTTGATTTTTATTTGTTGGGGGGGGGGTGGTTGATCTTTTTTTTCTTCATTTGGTTATATCTAAATTCATTTATTTATATTTCATTATGCTTTGTTTTACATTTCTTTTGTTGTTGTTTTTTGTATAGTAGGAATTTTTGTTTTATATGTGGTTTAGATTTTTTGTGGTTATTTTTTTTTTGTCAGTTTATTTAATTTTTTTTTTGTATGTGCGTGTGAAAAGCGTCTTTAAATATTTTATGTTTACTTTTATTTTCTGTTGCATTTATATTTCTCCAAAATGTTGATTCTTATTGTTATTATTATTGTTAATGTTATTTTTCTAAGGTTTTGAATTTGATTGTTTTGAATTTGATAAAATGCCAAACCTACTGTAAAAAAACTCATCTCAGAACATTTTGTGGTGGTCTATTTATCTAGTAAACACTTCTATACACTAGTAAACACAATCTATACCACCAGGGGCTTATTTTAGCTATTAATAATATCATCATGATCATCAGGGAATGCTAAAAACGCATGAATAAACACTATTTTTCTGTTTTTCTCCTCATCAAAGCGTTGGCTCTGACAAGCGAAGCCTACTTCAGCGCTCTTGCTAAGATGGGCGAACAAGCTCTCAGCACACTATCATCTAGATCACTCGGTAAGAATCCTGTGCGTCTCTAAAGTAGTGCCAGCTGGGCAGATTGTGAAGCAAGATGTCCACTGAGTTTTTAACTCTACTTTCTGGCTGTACTAGCGCATGTTTGTCCTACAGACAATAGATGTTTCAGCGAACAGCATCCAGCGCCAGATGCTTCATCTCCTCTGTCGAAAAACACAAGATTTGGCTGAGAGAAACCTTCAGGTTGATGCCAAAGTTATGAGTTTTAGTTTCAGTCACGAGATAAAGAAACGATGAATGACAGAATACTAGTTTAAGAGGCATAGAACGTTAAATAAGGGTTTAAAAATTACTACCAGCTTATAAACCTGCATGTGACTGGACAAGGGGTGTGTGTGCGCGTGTGTTAAGCATCAGGTGTCCATGTGAGCATTGAGACTTAAATAATTGATGCATGGTCTCATTCTTTCACCCCGTTAAATTCATTGATCCCCTTACTAGCACATTACACTCATCATTACAATGCACATATTAATACATACTTCAAAAATAAAAAAAACTAATAAAAAAAATAGGTGGTATAAAGCTAAATGCTATATCTTGGGTGCTTTTAGAAGAAATTAAATTTTTTTTTAAATAATATAATTAGGTAGTGTTAATTATAAATGTTTTAAATTATAATAAATCAAAAACATATAATTGATATATATTTATAATTGTAAGAAAGATTTATTTTTTGTGGAAGAATTATTACCAGTTAAATCGTGGTAATATTTAATATATTTCTTCAATAAAGTTATTAAAAATGTATATTGTCATTTATTAAAATCTTTAAAAGAAGATTTTTTTTCATAAATGAAAAAATTTTGAAAAAAAAATGAAAGTGACACTGTTGGGAAAAAAAAAAAAAAACGATTTTGATCGACTTCGAATGTTGACTACTGTATACCATTATGTAAATGGATCACTTGCTGTGTTCATCCAGTCAAAATCATTTGTAATTATTTTGTAATTAATAACATCATTTTCGTTAAATTTTTGGATCAACTAGCCTTTTAAATTGACATTTTAAAAGGTTAGTTTTTTCGTCATTCAGACATAAAATAGTTCCTTGAAGCTGAAAACATTGAAATAATGAAATGGCCAGACCAGAGACCTGATGTAAACCTGATTAGAAATCTCTGGAAAATCCTTGGTGACAAAGTTATAGCCAAGAAACAATACTGTCGGTGATCTGTGAAAGAGACAGAAGAAGAGTGAGATATACATAAGTCAACATTTGAAGTGGAACATCGCCGTTTATCAAAGTTCTCCTAAAACAATTGAACAGCAGCCATCCTTGTCTTAGGACCATTTTGAAACAATTTGATCCACTTCAAATGTTGACTACTGTATATACCATTATGTAAATGGATCACTTGCTAGGCATTAGGTGTCCATGTGAGCATTGATATTTAAATAATTGATGCATGGTTTCATTATTTAATATATTTATATTTAATAATGAGTAATATTTAATATATTTCTTCAGGAAAGATATAAAAAATTGTACCTTTTTTCAAATAAGATATTTTTCATAAATGTTTCAGTGTTTGTATTTTTGTCACTGAGTTTCTTTCTTAAAACATGCAAAAGTATTTTGGTGCTTTGAAATGACATGAGAGTATAAAACTAATGACTAAATATGTTATTTTCTTTATTGATTCATCCCTTTAATAGTATCTGATTCATTTCTGGTCTCTTAATTAGTTGCGGTTCATTAACCGACACGAGCTACTGAACAAACTCAACAGTCCCGTGATATTCAGACTGTTTACAAAAAGCCACTCTTCCATTTCTGCACTTATTAAATATGTATTGACAATCAATTATTTAATTAATGTATTTTGTTTGCTTGCCAGGCGACGTGTTGATCCAGATATCAGAGACTCAGAGGAAGCTGACGGCTGAGGCAGAGGGAGTGGTGAGTTAAAAGTTCAAGTCTTTCTGGCTAATGGGATTCATAGCATGGCAAGCCATTTTAACATTTAATCTAGCAGTAAACCACGCTAGTGTCTTTTTTATGCACTGCAAAAAATGCTTTTACTCACATACTGTATTGTTGTAGTTTTTGTCTTGTTTCTAGTCTAAATATATACAAATTCCTAAATCAAGAAGCATTTTGTAGACAAGTAAAAATATTGTCTTGATTTCAGTGAGTTTATGCTTTAAACAACATAAATAATCTGCCATTTTTGATTTATGTAAAAATGTTTTCTGTTAGTAAATTAAAATGTTTCTTGATTTAATTTTTTATTTTGGACTAGAAACAAAATCTAGAAATTAGAAACAAAAAGTTTTTTGCTATTTTTTTTTACTCCAACCTATTTTTTAGCTGCAACTAGAATGCAACGATTTACAGATTTTGGTTGTCCGATTATAGTGTGAGGAATAATCACGGTTATCATAATTAATATGCATTTATTAATTTCAAAACTCAACTAGTTTAGAAAATCACTTGAAAGTGTCGGATGTTATCACTTTAAAGTGTTGTTTTTGCTTATGAATTGCTAGATAATATAGCACAAAATAATAAAAAACAAACCGTAGTACATTTCTATCTTTGGACTTAAATTAAGTGGAAAACTAATCCCCAAAATTGGAGGCCTGGCTTGTGGGTCGGCCCTCCCTATATGCGCGTGCAAGCCTCCATTGGAAAAATCATGGTTGCGACAAAGACACAAAATGTGAACGGTTCACTGCTGCTAGGTGCCTCAGCCATAGTTAATCCAGTGTGCGTGTGTATTAGCAAAGACTTAAGAACACACAAGAAATTTCACAAATATGGTTTTGAATGGGGAAGAGTGTAGCGGTCAATATGGCGAATGCAGCCTCACCTACTAGTACAGGAGCCAATCATTGATCGTGTTGTGTTTTTACGACAATTTTTGTGGTCAACAAACGCACTAGAATCTCAGTGAATTCTCACAGACCTAAGAAGTATTTTCACATAAAGCTTGAAATAAGTACTTTAAATGAAAGAATACACTTGAAAACAAAAGTGTTCTGGTTTTATAATCTGTATGAAACGAACGCGAGGGACAGTCTGTCCTGTCAAATGCACATCGCATGACAGCAACTACTTAAATGCCCCACAAACTTAAAAACAAAGAGTCGCTGTTTTTTCTGGAGGAGAATCGCCGCAAGACTAAGTTGTGAATTACTGCAGAAGAGCAGCACGATCAGACGAAGCATTATTCAGAGGATGATAATGTGTAGAAAAGCCATAAATGAGGTTGGTGTCGTGATCTCGCTCTTTTCAAATGCGTATGCAAATTAGTTTGGGCAACCTGAAGGATTTTAATTTAAACGTTGAGAAACAATACTTAAATATTGGTTGTTGCTTAATTTTATTGGTGGTTCTAAATATGTAATGTGGTTGTAAGCTTGGCAAACAGTATTGGGGAATTTAATGTTTCCCTATTCAGACAGAATGCCTGATTTTAGTAAATGGTAACAACAAAGTCCTGCTGTGATTAAGTAAAGTCACACTTTTTATGAAAGTACATCTGAGGTGGTCAGAGGATTATTAGAAGCATTCATATTTTTGAAAGACATCCCCCTTGTTTCTTAAGTATTATATGTATTGTTCCAATAGCATTGTTTTATTCGAAAGTTGTATGAACAGTTCAAATGTTGGAGGCCTTAGTTGGTTTCAACTGAGTAAAATGCATTTTTTGCTTGATAGGAAATGATGCCAAGTCTCTTTATAGAAGTAGGGTCAAGCGTCTTGTTCAATTCCATACCAAAGAGGAATAGCGTTGGTGTGTTGTCCAGTGGAGTTTGCATAGCTTTGGCTGCAAAGTCCTGTACTGCTTTCCAGAATTTTTATGTGGGAAATTCAGAAAATGCTTTTTGTATTCCCAAAAAATGTGCATGATTGATCCTTAATAGATTTTACATCTGTGAAAGACATTTTGCTTAAACAAAGTAGGGTAAGATTATGGTTTTTAAATATTTCTTTATATTGTAACATGGACTTTTGTGTTCAGTGGTTAGTACTGTACTTTCAAACTGCATTTTTAATGCCGCTTTGCAGCGTGTCCTAACTACTACATATTACTCATGCTAAAATTAGTTTTTTAACTTAATCATTTATGACGTCGATGCGCAAAATTTGTATTTAAAAAAGAAAAATAAATTTAAAATGTAAAATTTTTTTTGCCACAAAACATCTGCATAAACTATTATGAAAATGAGAATGAAGATTATGTGTTTTTTTTAGTGTTAAATGCTATTAATGCGAATTTGAATACCATTATGTGACATTTATTGCCTTACTACTGAAAGCAGCATATAGCTCACCTTATATACTGAAAATGAAATAGCTAGCTAACTAGCTCGCTTTTTAAATGAATGTTAGAACAGTGGCTCAGTGCAAGCCAACAACTTCAGTCACTCAGCCTATCTACTTTTAATAATGTAACATTGGTTTAATATGTATTAAAAAGATTGTAACCATTTTGTTGGGTGCCTGAAATTTTGGCGCACAGACAAACTGCTTGTTGTGTCATGTCAAGTGTGTAGTTAGGACACGTTGTAAAAGCTATAAACGTCCCAGCTGAGAAATAAGAGTCAACAACACTCAATGTGATGCTGCGGCATGCAATAAAAGCTGTCTTTTCCATCTTAAAAAAAAATTCCCAAAAGCCATGGGAGCGGATCAAGTGTTTAGCAAGTCTTGAGTCCAATGGAGGAGATGTTTTTGTGTTTATTTTATGGTTAAAGTTGTTAAATGTATGCCAGTTCCTGTCTCTTTCTAACCAGAAAGAGTTTTCTACGTGTTTGAGATACTGCTACAGTAGCATCGCACACATCTCTGGTGTTACTTAAAACACAGCCAAAGAAACTTGACAATAGGTATAAAAACTTCACCGCATATAAGCATTTCGTAAGTGTGATTTCAGAGCAATGCAGAAGTATAAATGCTCACAATAGCTTTGGCTATGTACAAGTCACCCAACAAAAAAGTATAAATTGGGGTCTTGCCCATAGACTGTAAAAAATATGGACGTAGTATCCGTGACGTCACCCATAGGTTTCTGAAGAGCGTAAATTACGCTACAAGTGGGCGTGGCCAACTGGTGCCGTTTTGTTCGCAAGTTATCGCACCGACCAGGGTTAACCAAAAAAGGGCAAAGAGGTGGAGCGTGATCGAAGCTACATATGCCTGCTAGCAGTTTGTTTAGACAGGCTTTTCTTTAGGAGATATGCTTAACACTTTATTTCCTGCAACTCGTTTGTGTTCTGACCACATGTGCTTGGTTGTACACTACTGTATAGCAATAAAGTGGTTAGTCTTTTAAAAACACTGTTGTAATACATTTAGCCCCTAAACACTGTTATTTTGATGTTTTTCTACAGGAGGAAAAAGCAAATTCAATTCAATTCAATTCAATTCAGCTTTATTTGTATAGCGCTTTTACAATGTAGATTGTGTCAAACAGCTTCACATAAATGGTCATAGTAACTGGAGCAGGGTGGTTCAGTTTTTAGTGTTTAAGTTCAGTTCAGTTTAGCTCAGTTCAGTGTGGTTTAAAATCATTATTGAGAGTCCAAAGACTGAAGAGCAAATTCATCGATGCGTAGCTCTACAGATCCTGAACCATGCAAGCCAGAGGCGACAGCGGAGAGGGAAAAAAAAAACTTCACCAATAGGAGAGTAAAGAAAAAAAACCTTGAGAGATCCAGACTCAGTTCGTCACGACCATTTTAATTTTTCCGCTGGACAAAAATCTTGTGCAGAGCTGCAGTCTCAGCGGTGGAGGCTGGAAGCTGGCCTCAGCGAAGATACGTCTGTCCCTGGAGCGTCACTGGAATCAGTCTCATGCTCTCCACTCCCCCATGACCACCAGCGCAGCAGCAGCTCAGGATACGGCCTGGTCCCAGATATGGACACCTTGGGATCATCTCGTCGCTGGTCTTGGGTCCAATCAGTGACTCCGCATAATCTGAGGTCCTTGGGATGAGTATCCCCAGGTGGAAATGAAGAATAAAGAGAATAATAAGCGTAGCTGCTGTTCATAGTGTATATAAACAAGATGCAGAAACTTGTGTGGAAACCCGCTAAGTGATGCCCTGAGTGTATGCTTTACTAAACAGATAGGTCTTTAATCTAGTTTTGTACTGAGAGTGTGTCTGAGCCTCGGATGTTATCAGGAAGGCTATTCCAGAGTTTAGGAGCCATAACTGAGAAGGCTCGACCTCCTTTACTCGACTTTGCTATTCTAGGTACTACCAGAAGCCCTGAGTTTTGAGATCTTAAAGAACGAGTTGGATTGTAGCGAGACAGAAGGTTGGTTAGATAAACAGGAGCTAGATTATTTAGAGCTTTATAGGTGAGAAGTAATATTTTAAACTCAATACGAAACTTAACAGGCAGCCAGTGTAAGGAGGATAAAATTGGGGTGATATAATCATATTTTCTAGACCTGGTCAGAACTCTGGCTGCTGCATTTTGTACTAAATCAAGTTTGTTAATAGAGGATGCTGGGCAGCCAGCAAATAGAGCATTACAGTAATCCAACCTAGAAGTCATAAAAGCATAGACTAGCTTTTCTGCATCAGAAATTGAAAGCATACTTCGTAATTTAGCGATATTTCTCAGATGAAAGAAGGCAGTTTTTGTGACATGGGATATATGATTTTCAAAAGTTAGATTGCTGTCTAATATGACACCCAGATCTTTTATACTAGAGCTAACGCTAACTTTGTATCCCTTTAATTGTAGATTGAGTTGCGAGATCTGCTGTGTTTAGGATTTAGGCCCAATAAGTTATTCTGTTTTGTCTGAGTTTAAGAGAAGAAAATTGTTGAAGGTTGACTTGTGAAGGCTGTCCATTAATATTCACAAACTGGTAACAGTCAGTTAAGTATGACTTAAACCATTGTAGAGCTTGTCCCTGGACACCTGTAGATTTTAAGCGATTTATGAGGATATTGTGGTCAATGGTGTCAAATGCCGCACTAAGATCGTGTAGAACTAATAGCGAGATGCACCCTTGGTCAGCAGCTAAGAGTAAATCATTGGTTATTTTCACTAATGCAGTTTCTGTACTGTGATGAGCTCTGAAACCTGACTGAAACACTTCAAAATTATTGGTTGTCTGCAGAAAAGAGCACAATTGAGTAGAAACAACTTTTTCTAGTATTTTAGACATAAATGGAAGATTTGAAATAGGCCTATAGTTAGCTAAGTTGTTTGGGTCCTGTTGCGGTTTCTTGATAATAGGCTTAATAACAGCTAGCTTGTAACATTTTGGAACATGGCCTATAGATAAAGAAGAGTTGATAATGTTAAGAAGAGTTTCTCCTATAGCAGGTAGCAATTCTTTCAGTAATTTTGTTGGAATTAAGTCCAGCATACTCCAGCAAAATCTCCTATTTTCTGTCTAAAGCCTTCTATTTTATCACTGAAAAAATTCATCACTGAAAATTTTATCACTGAAAAAAGTCATCACTACTAATTTGTGGTGGAATATTTTGTTCCAAGGATGACCAATTATTTGCTAATTTAGCAATAGTGTTAAATAAAAATCTAGGATTGTTTCGATTACTTTTCTATCAGTTTGCGGAGGTGCTCGGCCCTGGCAGATTTTAGAGCCCTCCTATAGCTGGACATACTGTATTTGTACGCAATTCTAAAGACCTCTAAATATTTTTTTTTCCATTTACGCCATTATACCATGGTGTAGTTTTAATCTCTCTAGCCTTTTTTAATTTGATTGGTGACACAGTATTTAGTGTACTAGTAAAGATGGCATCCATACTGCTGGTTACTACATCAAGGTCATTTGAGTTTGCGGGTGCATTACCAAATAGAGAAAGATCAGGTAAGTTATTTATAAATTTATCTTTGGTTGACGGAACGATAGTTCTACTAGGGCGAAATATTGGAGCGGGTTTGCTAATTTTAGGTAAACACAGCTTATATAGTAAGAGGTAGTGGTCTGTAATATCATCACTTTGTGGTATAATGTCTACATTAATGACCTCAATTCCATAAGACAGAATTAGATCTAATGTATGCTTTAAGCGATGGGTTGGACCCACAATGTTTTGCTTTATCCCAAGTGAGTGTAGTAAATCCATAAACGCGAGCCCTAATGTATCGTTAGCGTCATCTATGTGGATGTTAAAGTCACCGACAATTAGTATTTTATCAGTTTTGACTAGTAAGTCAGAAATATAATCAGAAAACTCTTTTAGAAATTTGACATAGGGTCCTGGGGGTCTATATATTGTGATTAAAGCGAGAGATAACATAGGTTTTTGCATAGTATCTGGAAGCTGAACATTAAGCGCTAATACTTTAAAGGAGCTAAACATAAGTCCGTTTCTCTGATTATCATTAAGGAAATCACTAAAGATTGATGCAACTCCACCACCACAACCAGTTTGACGAGCCTCATGTTTATATAAGAATCCTGGAGGAGTTGCTTCATTTAAGCTAATATAGTCTTTTTGTTTCAGCCAGGTTTCAGTGAGACAGAGTGCATTAAGATTGTTATCTGTTATTATTTCATTTATGATAAGTGCTTTAGGTGCTAGTGACCTGATGTTTAGGAGACCGAGCTTTACGAAATTTGTATTTTCACTTTTTAGCGTTTTTTCTGATTTGATTCTTAATAGATTTATTCTGGAGCACACCATACGTTTATTTCTTGATCTAATAATACGAGGAACAGGCACAGTCTCTATGGGGTTAGCCAGATATGCATTACTGATGCTTAAGTGGGACGAACTAGAGTCTATGTGGCTATAATGTGAATTTTGTGAAATTTTACCTACTAGTCAGAAGTAATCTGGAGATGTTATCCGACAGGAGTTCAGCTCCAGCTCGACTGGGGTGCAGGCCGTCAGCACGGAAAAGCCTAGGACGCTCCCAGAAAAGATTCCAGTTTTTACTTCCAAATACTTCAAATATAGTCTGTGTTACGCCCCATTCACACGGGGCTTCAGCATCAACGCTTGACAGAGCAAGTGTCTGAAGTTGAGGCTGACTTGATCGTCATAGCAGCGTCAGCCAATGAAATTCAGTCAGCAATAAGCCACTGTCTGAGATGGTGTATTTGCATACAGTGATCTGATTGGCTGACGCTTCCGTCGATGCTTGAAAAGTTGAGCAAGTTCCAACTTGTGCAGCGAGCAATGCCTCTGACCAGCTATAAGTTTTCTTTCCCTTATTTATTTATTTTTTTGGTGCATGTACTCGTGTGTGTGTGTGTGTGTGTGTGTGTGTGTGTGTGTGTGTGTGTGTGTGTGTGATCGGAAAACTATTGTAATTGCGGAACGCCATCTTTACCAGACTCTGGAAAACTCCACCTCTCCTTTCACTTCCCCCCAAAGTATTTAGGGGGCTGAAAAAGGCTGGCCGCTGGCCCTGAGGAAGCCCCGCTTTGGCCCGATCAGGCCCCGGAAGTCAGTGGAAACGCGACTGGCCCTGGTTCACCCTGGCACCCTCGCTTTAGGTGCGATAGTGGAAATGCAGCTAATGAGTATATCATTGTGACAGAGGCCAGCTAGCAAAGTGCTATGCAGGTAAACCTCTTTAACCTTAAAAAGTGCTCCAGCGACAGACGTTCGGTGCCATGGTCTTTAGCTTCCTTGTTAGAGCAACAGACTTCCAAGCAAAGAATTGCCGGTTTGATCCAATCTCAGACCAAGTTGAGTGCTGTAGGACCGGTGGGTTACACGTGGTGGCTCGTCTGGGATGGGAGTGAGGTTTAGGGGTGTGATTGTGATGGGAGGCCAGCTAGTGAAGTGCTATGCAGATAAACCTCACTTCTATGACATCAAAAGGTGCTCTAGCGACACACGTTGGGTGCCATGATCTTTAGCCTCCTTGTTAGAGCAGCTGACTCCCATGCAAAGAATCGCAAAGTGCTTTACAGTAAAAAAAAAAATCTAAATTAAAATCTAGGTTAAAATCCAAGCTCAAACAACACCAAATGTAAAACCAGACCACCATACTGTTAATTAAAAGCTTGTCAAAAAAAAAAAGTGTCTTAGGTACTAATAGAGTACCTAAAGAATAATCATTAGTAGCTAATGAATTAGTAATAGTACTTGGAAAAGATACAAGTGTCTAAAAATAAGAGCTAGTAGCAGGAAAACAGATACTAGTATGTTATATTGATTAAATGCTAAAGTGGCTTGCCTTACTCGTTGGTCTTCATTACTGTTCCAGTTCCGCTGGTTCCATGTGGAGGTTCTGCAGGCCATGGACAAGAACGTGAAGCTGGATGAGGAATACATTGAGGTGAGTCAAGAAGCTTGTGGTGTGTCTCTGTATATGTATATACTGTGTGTGTATGAGCTAATATGTTCAATATATATATAAAGGGCAGTCGTAGAGTGTATGAACTGGAGGTGAGGAATCAGGCGGCATCGCTGGAGCGTCAGCTGAGACGTGGTGCGTTCAGAGACTCACTGGTAAGACCACGTTTTTGTTCATGTAAACATTTTTATGGTGTCTGATGTTTGTTATGCAAACAAGTCTGTATTCTAAGAAACTAACTATCTGAATGTATCCTAAAAGATTGTAACTTGGCCTTATGATGTTGCTAAGTTAAGATCAAAATACTAAAACAAACCATCAATCTCATTTCAGTTTTGTGGAGTTTGACGTGAGCATCAATTTTAAGATAATAACTCTTAAATAATCTCTGTCTCAGCTGAATTTATTGGTCTGTCATTAGTATAATGCTAATCTAAAAAACTAATGATCTTATTTGAGTCTTGTAGCGTTTGCAGTTAGCATGTTGGTAAGTTGGTCTGAAACTCAGTATTCTCATTTGTTGTTAACTCTGTCATTAGCATATTGTTAGCAAACAAAGTGTAACAATTTAAATGTTCCAGCAAACTTTACCAGTTTTTACCTGTTTAGCATTTGCTAAGACAAATCAAAATTCTGATAAGTCTGACTGTTTTGATTTCAAAACAATTTTATGTAAGTATATTGCTAAGCTAACAATACTTTAAAGCAAACCATTAACAATCTCAATTGATTCAGAACTCAGTATTATCTTTTGTTGTTAACACTGTCATTAACATGTTGTTATAAAACAAAGTCTAACAATTCAAATGTTTTAGTAAGCTTACCAGCCCAGTCTTTTAGCATTTCCTAAGAAACGTCTAATAACTTTGACTGTGTAGATTTCAAAACATTTTGACGTTAGCTTATTGCTAAGCTAACCATACCTTATAGCAAGCCATTAACATTCCTAATTGATTTAGAACTCAGTATTCTTATTTGTTGTCAGCTTTGTCATTGGCATGTTGTTAGCAAACACAATCGAACTATTCAAATGTTCCAGCAAGCATTAGCTGTGTACTCTTTTAGTATTTGCTAAGATAAATCAAAAGTTTAATATGTCTGACTGGTTTGATTTCAAAACAATTTGATGTTAGAATATTGCTTAGCTAGCAATCTCATTTGATTTAGAACTCAATATTCTCATTTGTTGTACGTTCTGTCATTAGCATGTTGTTAGCGAAAAAAAAACGATACAATTGTTCAGCAAACTTTAGCAGTCTGGCCTTCCCAGTATTCCCATTTGATGTCAACCCTGTTGAAAAATCCAGCATAAACCAGCCTAGGCTGGTTGGCTGGTTTTAGCTGGTCGACCAGGCTGGTTTTAGAGGGGTTTTGGCCATTTCCAGGCTGGTTTCCAGCCATTTTCAGCCTGGTCTTAGCTGGTCAGGCTGGAAAATGACCAGCCAAATCAAGCTAAAACCAGCTTGACCAGCCTGGTTTAAGCTAAATATAGCTGGTTTTGGCTGGGCTCCCAGCTTGGCTAGGCTGGTCAAGCAGGTTTTAGCTGGTCATGTCCCAGCCTGACCAGCTAAGACCAGGCTGGAAATGGCTGGAAACCAGCCTGGAAGTGGCTAAAACCCCACTAAAACCAGCCTGGTCAACCAGCTAGGCTGGTTTAAGCTGGATTTTTCAGCACGGAACTCTGTCATTTGCTTGTTGTTAGCGTAGAAAGTCTAACAATTCATATGTTCAAGTAAGCTTTACCAGTGTAGTCTTTTAGCATTTGCTAAGCTAAATCTAAAAAGTCTAATTAGTATATACTTCAGGCTTCCTATTTGTTGTCAGTATTCCCTCAGTATTCCCATTTGTTGTCAACTCTGTCATTAATATGTTGTCAGCAAACAAAATCGAACAATTAAAATTGACCAGTTTAGTTATTTAGCTTTTACAAAGATAAATCAAAAGTCTAATAACTCTGAATGCCTTGATTTCAAAACAATTTGATGTTAGCATATTGCTAAGCTACCAATACTTTATAGCAAACCATTAACAATTTCAATTGATTTAGAACTCAGTACTACTGTTGTCAACGCTGTCATTAGCGAACAAAATTGAACAATTCAAGTCTTCGAGTAAAGTTTACTTGTCTAGTTTTTTTTAGCATTTGTGCTAAGATAAATCTAAAAAGTCTAATAACTCTGACAGTCTAGATTTTAAAACAGTTTGACTTTATTCATATTGCCATAACAATTTCAATTGATTGAGTTTTTTATTAGCTAACATCAAACACTTATTGTTAGTCAAATCTTGCATGGTTCCTGTGTTAATTCTTAAACCTACAGTGGTTTGTAATGAAAAATGACTAGCATTCGTTAATTTTTTTAGTAACAACTGACAGTTTGAAGCAACATAAATAAAACTAGCCTTGGCAGTTTGACAAAGTCGTGATCCACCTTTTGTGCAATGTTGCAACTGCCACTGTGAATGAAGACAGTGGAGCTCTGTAGGTTCTGGAACAATCTCAATACACATGCACTTATGTGTGCGCAGGAGAGCAGCGAGTACATGCAGTACCTGAGGCAGAGTCAGCATGAGATTCTCAAAGAGGAAGAAAGGAGATATCGTTTCTTGGCTGAGAAACATTGCGGACTTACACAGTCACTTCTATACCTTATCAATAAGGTACAGCTGCTTTCCTCTGGGCTTCATTAGCAGTGTGCTCAGTCATATAGATCCTCTTTCCATTCCTTCCAAACCCTATCAGCTCCACTGCTCAAGCATCTTTCCTTGTGTTGACAGACGGGAGTATCTCTCCAGCAGAGAGCAGATGGATGGAAAGAGAAAGTCAGCGAGAGCAGAAGCTCCAGACCTCGAACGCCCACTCCATTAGATCAAGAGGCTCAGGTGACACTGGAAATGATGGGAATGAAGAGCATCCGTATTTCTCTACTTTTCCTCGCTCATTTTTTGACTAAATGCCAGTGCACAGTCGAACAATAGAACAGATGGGTAGCTTTGTGTGGCATAGAGTCACAGATTTAACTTTTTTTTTGTATCACATCTGTCAACTGTGGATTAATTCATGAGCTATGAAATTTAATTTTGCACCGCTTAGTATTGTGAAATGCTGTTTGTGACACATTTTAAGAGGTGCTTTATATTCTGTTAAAAGATTGCTTCTGTAAAGTCATGAAAAAACATTATCATGGACTTTTGCTATCGAAGCAGATGGCAATGGCAAGACTCTAGAACTGAGCAAATTGAGCAAAACTTCATTTATATTTACTCTGCAAATGTGGAATAGAGGTTTGGTAATGCTAAAGCTCAAAAAGTTTGTCTCATATCAGATACATATGCACTATTCCATGCCATTGCATGCCATTTTGTAGGATCAATGGTCACATGATGTTCTTAATAATCGATAAAAAGAAGTGTGTAATGCTAAACACTTTAAAGCTTTGCTCATGTAAAGGAAAGGGAGGAGCTACTAGTTTAGTGATTTATTTATCTAATCTGACTATCGTTGACTGGAACGTTGACAACATTAACTGGAAAACGGTTTAAACGCAAAACGCTGTAAAATGCGCTGTAAAAAAAAAAAAGCATGTAAAATTGTACACATAAAAATCCATGACACTGCGAGACCGCGAAAGGTGAACCGCGTTATAGTGAGGGACTACTTCATTTGACTGAAAACTGAACTTATGTATTGCAACAACTTTAAATAGCTTTCCTGATCGACCACAATTAATCCACGGTCAATTTTTCACCACAAGTTATAACCGATTGACTTCTTTGTATTCTTGATGCTTCAGCACACTCGCTTATCCTAATTGTCTCATGTTAGCATTTTGCTAAACTGTCAACTAATTGCTGTAACAAACTAACATTTGACTCATACACGTACACATATATTCAAACTAAGGCATAGACAGTTCGCAACTGTTTTTAATACCTTTTTTGGCCTACAGGGGTTCATGTGAAATTTATATTTTAATATTTTAATCTTTAATAAATTACTAATAGGAATAGCCCATATCTTTTTAGCTACTTTGTGATGAATTACTTAATAAATTACTTCAGGAAAAATGAACAAATCAAAAAAGTCCTAGTTCGATCGGACAGTTAGGGTTTGGGTAAACTGTAGTTGAACTTGCTGAGCAAAAATTGTTGATAATGACATCGAGATGATCATAATGTGTGATAATGACAGTTATTTTGTATAGCTTCTCAACCATCTACAGCTTTGTGTAGTAAATGTAGAAAATATAATATAATGTTATTATAATATAATATAAATATAAAATATAATTTAAATATAAAATATCATATAAAATACTATAATATAATATAATATAATATTAGTAGTGTGAACCTACACTGGTCACACTGTTTGGTTCGGTTATGATAATCATGCCATCGATGCAGTTCAATTCGATATCTCGGTGCATCACTCTGCATTGACAATGCTTTCCATACACAATTTTCTTTACTGCACAGCAATTATTGCATTAAAATGTGTATATATATATATATATTTATATACTATCTGTAAAACAATTTAGTCCTTTAATACAAAGACATATATGTAAACTTTAAAAACTCAAGTACATACACAGAACAACATGAGCATTTTTAGCTTTGCTCAGTCGCGTAATAGATTTCAATTCGATTAGTCGCCTAGCCCTACTAGCATACCATACTGATGAGGAAATTCACATCACACACTGTACACTAACACCTGCTTATGTGTCTGTTGCAGTTAAAAAGTTCTGTGGGCTCTCTGCTGCAGACTGGAGACCGAGAAATGGACCGCGAACCTCTGGGGAGAGTGCCCTCTAGAGGTCTGGAGACTCAGTAATGCTCATCCCCTAAATTAGTCTGTAAAAAGTTTAGAATTAAGACAATGTTTAGTTTTATACCAAAGTTAACTTTGTTGACAACTTTAGTATCCTAGGGTTCATTCTTCGTAACTAGCTTTAATGGTCTACGATAATTGGACAGATCCTGGATATTTTAATCTCAATAACTGATCTGTGGCTAATTTGGTTCTTCAAACAAGTTTGTGAGTCAGATTGAAATATCTGGATAAACTGATCTAAGGTAGCTGCGATGTTGTGATGAACAGATCTATCGATCTTTGAAAATCATGATCAGCTATTCTGCAATAGGCTGATGGCACAGCAGAGTAATGACATCATCTGAATGATATTCAATTATCCATGTGAGCAAAATTACATAAAATTCATAGTAAATGTTTTTTTTAAATATGATACACAGTAACTTTCCACATTTGTTGTGGGCTGCAGGCTTTACACTTTCATGAGCCAAGAGTATTTAATATTTATTTAGTTTTACTTTTAAAGCTGATTACCTTTAGCTTCTTATAGTAGGCCTATTCAAGTTTCTTAATTATGTGATGTAAGGCATAATTAATAAATTAATTTTGCATCAAAAAATGATTCTGATGTTGGTAAAGGTGTTTGCAATGGTCCCTAAGACCTTGTCTGCATGAACAGACCCTTGCAGGCCCTCCTTTGGGTTTCCGTCAGGTGTTTAAGATTTCTGTCCTTCATTTACTCCTCCTCTTTGCAGCCCCGTCTCCTCTCCCCAGTCGTTCCCGCTCCAGCTCTGTGGGCGAGTCTTTAGGTCTGGGCGGCGGTCGCTCCATGAGGGCCATCGTTTCACATCCCGCTTCATCCAATCCGGTCCTGCTGCCGTTTGCCCGTGGCGACCTGTTGACTGTGCTCATACCAGAACCACGCAATGGTTGGCTGTATGGACGCCATGATCCAAGCCTACGGTGAGAGATTTGGCTATTGTTAGCGAGGTTTCCAGAAATTCTTTAGTCTCATTGTTCTTTATTGTTTTTAGCCAAGGCTGGTTTCCTGCTGCCTACGTGGCATCCACTGAAGACTTTCTACCTGTGGGCTTAAGGTAAAGTTGAGTATGTGAGTTGTGTCTAGTGGTCGACTTCCCAGTATACCTGCCGATGTGATAGAGAAGGCTTTTATTTTGAGAATAACAGTGCGTGAGCTCCTGTTCTTCCTTAGTCTACTGTCTTTGTTTAAAGTCCGCATGAACCAGAATCTGTGACTGTTTTTTTTTTCGTATTGTGATGCAGTTCCATTAGAAACAAAATATTAAATGAGGAAACAGTGGACGTTGCTTGTTTTTTTCTACTGTGAGCTGACTGGATGTTGTAAAGTAGGCATTTCATTCAGAAAGAGCTGGAAATTAAACTAACAGACACCTCCTGCTCACCAATTCTGTTTATTGTCGTAACTGACAGTTGGAGGGGCGTGGTTAAGTATTTTAGCCCCACCCAACACCTCAGACAGACGTAATCTGAGAACTTAACTGAAAACAAACAGGAAGTGCATTTTCAGATTTAATTTTAGATTATAAGGGCAAACATCTCTCGTTTTTCTTAATGATATGCACCAATGTCATAATCTCAAAACTGGCAATAGCCCCTTTCACACATACAGACCTTTCCGGAAAATTGCCGGCAATTTTCCGGAAAGGTTGTATGTGTGAACAGGTCCTTTTTGAAAATACCGGTAAATTCGTTCTGGCTATTTTCCGGAAAGAGAAGTTGTAACATTACCGGCAATTTGCCGGAATGCTGCGCTGTGTGAATGCAGAAGAAAGATTACCGTAATAAGCGCGTGCACGTCTAGAACGTGCTGACGTGAGACGTCTACTTTAGCCAATCACAACAGTCAGACGCATTTACGTCCGCGCGGTTTGTGAGAATAAAAACCTTTGAATATTTTTCCAGACACATTTAGCTGCTAGAAGTTAGTCAGATCACGTTTATATGTTCTTCTTTATGCCAACTGTGTAAATAATCATCGATGAGATGCTTATGATAAGCCGTTGTTTGTTTACCTTCAAGCTTTGCGTGTGCCTGTGAAACAGCCTGTGAGCGCCAGCACACGCACATATTATGAACATCTCGACCTGCGAAAGTGATTCTGCGAAAGTTGTTCACAATACTGATCATCCACAGAGTTTGTAATGTAGTCAAATATTTAAAAATACAAGTGCAGCCGTTTAAAGCTCATTTGTGGTGAATGATGTCAGAATTTACCGGTATTTTGGAATGGATGTGTGAATGATCTTTTCCGGAAAATTTCCGTAACGTCCTCACCTGTGTGAACAGGGCTTTTTTGAATATACCGGTAAAGTCGTTCCGGAAATTTTCCAGATATTTTCCGGTATCACTGTGTGAAAGGGGCTAATGTGAGCTAACAAAATCAATATGGGTAGTTTTGATTTCATACGTACCTCAACTCTGTTTTTATCAAAAGTTTCAGGATTTCAGAATTAGTAAGTGGGTATCTACAGTATCAATCTGTGTGTTTTAATAATTCTTTACATTAAATTGTGCAAATGGCGCTGATAGCCTAGTAGGCAGCGTGTCGACAAATAGCACAAATGAGGGTGTCCGTGTTTGAGTCCTGACTCACAGACCTTTTCCGATTCCATCCCCTACTCTTTTTCTAACTTCATTTCCGACTTCATTTATTTAAGAAATAAAATAAAATAGTGCAATATTATATAGGATATTTTTAGGCTTTTCAAGTTTTAAATAAATTGACCTTGTTTTAGCTGATATTTTACAATTTTATAATGATTGACTTTGGTTGAAAGGTTTTTCTACTTGATGTATCAGAAGAGACTTCTATTTTGACATCGGTGAGAAAACCAATGCATGAGCTCCCGTTCTCCATCTTGATTAGTTTACTATTTCCATTACACAATATTTAGTTACTTTTATAAATATCCTTAGTATTGCAGAATCAAGAAGTTGTTGACTAAGGTATAGATCAATTTGTTTTACAGAATTTTGTCAAATTAAATAGTGTAATACCATATACAGTCAGAATTATTAAACCCACTTTGATTTTGACAAGACAATTTTCACAGTATGTCTGATAATATTTTTTCTTCTAGAGAAAGTCTTATGTGCTTCATTTTGGCTAGAGTAAAAGCTGTTTTAATTTTTTTTTTTATATATTTTATGGTCAAAATTATCAGCCTCTTTAAGCTGTATATATATATATTTTTTCAATAGTCTACAGAACAAACTAAGAGTCATACAATAACTTGTCTATCTACCCTAACCTGCCTAGTTAACCTAATAAACCTAGTTAAGCCTTTAAGTGTCACTTTAATCTAAATAGAAGTGTTTTGAAAAATATCTAGTGAAATATTATTTACTGTCCTCATGGCAAAGATAAAATAAATCAGAGAGAAAATCAAAAGAAATTAGAAATGAGTTATTAAAACTATTGTGTTTTGAAATGTGTTGAAAACAATTATATGTTTATCCAATAAAATTTACCATTTTAAAAAAATGTCTTGGCGAAGCAGTGGTGCAGTAGGTAGTGCTGTCGCCTCACTGCAAGAAGGTCGCTGGGTTGCTGGTTCGAACCTCGGCTCAGTTGGTGTTTCTGTGAGAAGTTTGCATGTTCTCCCTGCCATCACGTGGGTTTCCTTCGGGTGCTCCGGTTTCCCCTACCGTCTAAAGACATGCGGTACAGGTGAATTATGTAGGCTAAATTGTCCGTAGTGTATGAGTGTGTGTGTGTAAATGTGAGTGTGGATGTTTCCCAGAGATGGGTTGCGGCTGGAAGGGCATCCGCTGCGTAAAAACTTGCTGGATAAGTTGGCGGTTCATTCCGCTGTGGCGACCCCAGATTAATAAAGGGACTAAGCCGACAAGAAAATGAATGAATGAATGAAAAAATGTCTTTAAAGGTTCCCTGAGTTCCCAATCTTCGTTTTCATTAATGTACGGTCTCTTTTTAAAATATTTATTATTGGACAATTTTGACATTTTTTTGATGGACACTTTTGACATTTCCAGGTTTCTCTGCAGCAGACGTTGGGTAAATTTAAAGTACAGTGAATGAAAGAGTACAACAATTAATTATTTTACAATCTTATTTCCCGAATAATTATAAATAATAATAATAATAAAAAACTCACCAAAGTTGTTATCAAGCCTTTCAGAAAAGGGAAAAAAGTGTGTGACTGATAACGGCAGCCAGAAGAGAGAACAATGTCAAATTTATTGTCCTGCCACATAGACGCTGCGTTAGAAACACCTTGCATAAGTGCTGGTGTTTTGTAACTTGATGCAAAGATGATATAATACACACACATAAAAATACATACACTTACTGGTCACTTTATTAGGTACACATTACTAGTACTGGGTTGGACCCCCATTTGCCTTTACAAGTGCCTTAATCCTGGCATAGATTCAACAAGGTACTGGGAATATTCCTGAGATATTGGTCCATATTGAAATGATAGCATCATGCAGTTGCTGCAGACTTGTTGGCTGCACATCAATGATGCAAATCTCCTGTTTCATGAAATCGAGACTCATTAGACCAGGCAACGTTTTTCCAATCTTCTATTGTCCAATTTTGATGATCCTGTGTGAATTGTAGCCTCAGTTTCCTGTTCTTAGCTGACAGGAGTGCCACCTGGTGTGGTCTTCTGCTGCTGTAGCCCATCCGCCTTGAGGTTTGACGTGTTGGGCATTCAGAGATGCTCTTCTGCATACCTCGGTTGTAAAGAGTGGTTATTTGAGTTACTGTTGCCTTTTTATCAGCTCAAACCAGTCTGGCCATTTTCCTCTGACCTCTGGCATCAACAAGGCATTTGCATCCACAGAACTGCTGCTCACTGGATATTTTCTCTTTTTCAAAGCATTCTCTGTAAACCCTAGAGGTGGATGTGCGTGAAAATCCCAGTAGATCAGCAGTTTCTGAAATACTCAGACCAGCCCACCATGCCACATTTAAAGTTACTTAAATTTCCTTTCTTCCCCATTCTGATGCTCAGTTTGAGCTGCAGCAGATGGTTTTGACCATGTCTGCATGCCTGAATGCATCAAGTTGCTGACATGTGATTGGCTGATTAGAAATTTGCGTTAACAAGCAATTAGACAGGTGTACCTAATAAAGTGGCCGGTGATTGTATGTTTTTTTTTTATCTTATTACAAAAAACTTTCAAGGATTTAAGATGCTAATGACTGTTAAACATGCCATTACAGTCTTGTGAAAACATTACACAATCAAGGCTTCATATCTTGTTTCTAATGTATCAACACTCGCCGTTAAAAAAAACAAAAGCAAAATCAGTCGACCACTAGTTATACCTACATCTAAATGAATACATTTTTATGTTAATGTGTTTGATTTGTCTGTAGTATTTCACACCGAAGCCACAGCATGAACAACCTCCTGGAGCCGACCAGCCAATCAGAATCCGACACCCAGACCTACAGTGAAGTTTCTTCTCCAGTGGTCTCCATGCGCCGTGCGTCGGCAGACGTTCGCTCAGTATCTCCCCTCCCCGAAAAGAAGACAGAGTCCAACAACGAGCTCAAGAGCGGCCAGAAAGTCTTCCACGAGATTCCTGCTCCAGCCACACAGCTGCGCCGTGGCTCGGCCGATGTTCGCTCGATATCTCCTCTCCCTGACAGGAGGGCGGAGTCTCATTTTGAGAGCAAAGTGGAGCTCAAAAATTACAACGAACTTCCACCTCCAGCTCCACCCCTTCCAAACTCTCCTCTGCCTGAGCGAAAGACTGACTTAACCTCAGAGGTGAGCATTTGTGTTTTTAATTTTACTTTTAGTCTAGACCAGGGGTGTCTAAACTCTGGAGAGTTTTGCTCCAACCCTAATTAAACACACCTGAACCAGCTCATCAAGCTCTTACTAGATTTACTAAGTATAAACTTCCAAGCAGGTGTGTTAAAGCAAGTTAAAGCTAAATTCAGCAGGACACCAGCCCTCCAGAACCGAGTTTGGACACCCCGTCTTGTCTTTATCTTAAGCTGACATTTTTTAAAATTAGTTTTAGTCATGTTCAGACTCTTTTTAGTCTAGTCGTGTTTTAATCAACTAAAGTCTGAGCATTTTTGTCTTATTTTGCTCAGAATCATCCATGACAATTTTCGTCTATTTTCAGTTGAGGAAAACGGATGTCATTTAGTCAATTTTGTTTTAGTCAATTTAAGTTATAATCAATGAAAATTGTATATCGTATTGCAATTCTCTTTAACCCAGACAATATAATTTAAGTACCTAGTAGTAATGACACAACCGACATTTTCTTTCATTTTCTAATGTTTAAGGCTAACGTTAAGACAGATTAACCACAGCCTCATGAGTTAGCATGAGTTTTCTAAAACAGAAGTTTTGTTATGTTACTTACCTTAAGGCTAACATTACGTTATGTCACATACCTTAAGGCTAACGTTACAGTTTGTTACTTACCTTAAGGCTAACATTACGTTATGTCACATACCTTAAGGCTAACGTTACGTTTAGTTACTTACCTTAAGGCTAACATTAAAATGAGACAAATTAACCATTGCCTCATGAGTTAGCATGAGTTTTCTAAAACTGAAGTTTTGTTATGTTACTTTCCTTAAGGCTAACATCACGTTATGTTACTTACCTAAAGGCTAACATTAAAATGAGACAGATTAAAAAACAGCCTCATGAGTTAGCATGGGTTTTCTAAAATAGAAGTTACGTTAAATTACCTTAAGGCTAACGTAACGTTATGTTACTTACCTTAAGGCTAACATTAAAATGAGACAGATTAACCACAGCCTCATGAGTTAGCATGGGTTTTCTAAAATAGAAGTTACGTTAAATTACCTTTAAGCTAACGTTACGTTATGTTACTTACCTTAAGGCTAACGTTACAATATGCTACTTACCTTAAGGCTAACGTTGAAATGAGACAGATTAACCCTAGCCTCATGAATTAGCATGACTTTTCTAAAATAGAAGTTTTGTTATGTTACCTACCTTAAGGCTAATGTTACGTTATGTTACATACCTTAAGGCTAACGTTACGTTATGTTACTTACCTTAAGGCTAATGTTAAAATGAGACAGATTAACCATAGCCTCATGAGTTAGCATGAGTTTTCTAAAATAGAAGTTTTGTTATGTTACTTTCCTTAAGGATAACTTTACGTTATGTTACTTACCTTAAGGCTAACGTTACGTTATGTTACTTAACTAAAGGCTAACGTTAAATTGAGACAGATTAACCATTGCCTGTTGAATTAGCATGAGTTTTCTAAAATAGAAGTTTTGTTATTTTACTTACCTTAAGGATAACTTTACGTTATGTCACATACCTTAAGGCTAACGTTAAAATGAGACAGATTAACCATAGCCTCATGAATTAGCATGAGTTTTCTAAAAAAGAAGTCACGTTTTGTTACTTGACTTACCTCAATTTTATTATGGAATGCCTTGAGAGTTGGAGCTAAACTCATTAGAACACCAGCCCTCCAGAAACAAGTTTGGACACCCCTGGACTAGTCTTTATCTGAAGCTGACATTATTTTATTTGTTTTAGTCATGTCAGACTCTTTTTAGTCTAGTTAGGTTTTAGACTAGAGCATTTTTATCTTTTTTTTTGTCAGAATCTTCCATGACTATTTTCGCCTAGTTTTAGTCGATAAATTTGATGTAATTTAGTCTACTTTTAGCCAATGAAAATTTTATTTTAGCCTCTTTTTCGTATTGGAATTCTCTTTAACCAAGTCAATATAATTTAAGTACCTAGAAGTAATGACAAAACCTACATTTTCTTTTAGACAAACCCATAGATACACACACGCTGGTCGTTTTCAGCTCCTGTGGCTAAAGTTTAAGGCTAACGTTAACATGAGACAGATTAACCACAGCCTCATGAGTTGGCGTGAGTTTTCTAAAATAGAAAGTTAGGTTACGTTACTTGATTTACCTCAGTTTCACTATGGAATCCCTTGAGATAGCTCTTGTTCGTGGTGTTTTTTCCTGCAATTTTGAGGCTGCGATATAATAAATATTAATATTTAATTTTGTCTCATTTTAGTCAATGAAAATCGCAATATTAATTTAGTTAGTCATCGTCACATGACCAGCATTTTTGTTGCATCTCATTTCGTCATGTGATAAAGGTTGATGAAGAAATTTTATATTTAACTACTTTATAATATAATATAATATAATATAATATAATATAATATAATATAATATAATATAATATATTCTATATTTTCCCAGAGATGGGTTGCGGCTAAAAGGGCATCCGCTGCGTAACTTGCTGGATAAGTTGGTGGTTCATTCCGCTGTGGCGACCCCGGATTAATAAAGGGACTAGGCGGACGAGAAAATGAAATTAAATATATTCTATATTTAATTACTTCATACATCATTGACAAAAGCAACACTTGTTTGGTGCTGTTTACATTAGCGCTTTTTTTGTTTTAAAGTTTTGTTTTGATTACAGCTGGAGTCTACACTCCGACATTCTTCGATCCAAGAAAACAGAATATTTTGAAAATACTAAAGATCCTGTTTTAGTTTGGAAATGATGGTGTTCTGTTTGAATATGGTCAGACTGAAAGGCATATTTTTGGAGGCGGTGTTATCCATAATCACTCTCTGATTGGTCATCTAGACCGTTGAGTATTGTTTCCTGATTTGTCAAGCCCCTCTCACATGACCATTACACTAAAAGTAGACTACAAGACGGATGCTTATCATGTTTTATGCATTTTAGGCTGTATGTGGACAGAAATGTTTTTTTGTAAAACACTATAAAAACGTCTGGATGTTTTAAATAAAGTCTAGACAAGGAGCGTTTTCATTGTAAACACCATTTAAAAACAAAACTGCACTAGTCTAGCGTAAATGCCACTTTAGACCTAATGTACTGTCAGTAAAAATTTGCTTTTATAATATCGCAAAACTTTATCATAACTGAAGCTTTTGGTGAGGTTTCAGCCATATTTTGTGTAAATGAAACCTGTTTTATTTCTACAGAGGCCAAGTACCCAAGGACAACCACCAGAGCACCCTCTTTTTCCCAGGTATGACACATCATAGAGTTGTAGAACGTTCATGAATTGCGTTGGAGAAGTTTTATGAGAATACCTATGAATTTAGAGACAAATAGTTAAAGATAATTGATCGTAAAGTTCTTTAAGGCACAATATGTGCACTTTTTTTTTTAAACATCCAAAAATATAATTGTTTTCTTCAAAATATTAAAAAACATATATTTTGCTGACTTGTTATCCAAATGTTTTGAAGAATGTTCAAATCTAGAAAAATTAGCAATTTTTTCTAGTAACACACAGACTGTGTCAAACACCCTCAATTTATGTTTTTTAAAATATAAAACAGGGAAACACCAAAGATGCTTTAATATGTTGTGTATTTTACTAGAAGGGCTGAGCAGCATTATAGTCTGATCACAAGCTAAAGAACTTGAAGCGGTGGACTGTGGCCAAATAAAAGCTCTGCTGCTTACGTGCTGTCACATTTGTTTTGCTTTTGTTTCGGTTTGTTGACTTTCAGCCTTACTTTGCATCATATTATCATAAAAATAAGTGTTAAATACTTTACCTCATCCATTACATGCTTGCTACAGGGGTCCTGTTGGACAGTGGTCCTCAACCTGTTTGTCCTTGAGGATGTCCTAGGATGCTAGGCGACCATCAACTGTTTTTAGAGGATGACAAGCTGACAACACATTGCTCTCACTCTCATACAAGTTTTATTTATGGTGAAAATTAAAAAGCACTGCAGTGTTTGTGTGTTCTGTGTTTGTCTGAGATAATTAGTCTACGAAAATGTGTATATTCCATACAAGCTGAAGCTGATTAGTCAATTCTAGTCACGTGACTCGCGGTGCCCTCACGGGATACATTTAACTGTGTGCGTCTGGAAAGTGCGAGCGCTTCACGTTGCTTGTTTTTGATTGTGCAAACCTTCATTGGAAACAACAAACTTGTGCAAACTCTAGAAAAGACACACTATGCAAATGGCCCCTAAAATGCTACAGTTACTTGCTATCTTTATCAATTGGCCTTCTTCCACAGCCATGTTGCATTCACCTGATTTGTTGACAAATGGGTTGTGGATCCATTCCTCGGCAGTTCGTGGGTTTTTCACTGGGCCTTTTCCCCTTAGCAAAGAAACTTTCCAAGCACGTCTGTTTCTTACTCATTTTGCTGCTTGTGGGTTCAATTTGGGAGCTCAGATGTAACTGAGAGAATACTGTCATTTTTCAAAATAAAAGATTTTTCCAAAATAAAAGATTGTTCAGACGGATAATAAATAAAACAGAAAAAATAAATGATTTCTTGTGTGACTCGATACCAATTCCTCCATGAACTGGTACCGGTTTGCAGCCCGGTGGTTGAGGACCACTATTGTAGGATGTAATGAAGAGCACACAACCCCTATGACTCCACACTCAGTCACTGCGTCATCAAACTACACTTTTGTTTGTTGTGAATACACACCCTCTAGTGGAGAAAACGATATATTATGCCTTTAAATCTCTCTTTTTCTTTCTTTTATATTGTCTAGAGGATCTAATCCATTTGCCACAGTGAAGCTTCGTCCCACTGTCACTAATGACAGATCCGCTCCACGAATCCAGTGAAGTAATCGATGTGGGGAAAGTCATCACCTGCACTCTGACTGGTTCAGAGTCCGCATCAAATATCAAACACAGTTTGCTGATCATTATAAAATGAAAGTAAAAAAAAAAAAGATTTTTAAACTTACAGGCACTTTTTTAACTAGTGTAGTATTTACTTTGAAGAGCTAGTGCATTAGTATCTACCATTTTTTTTTTCTGGAAGTGTTTTTAAAATAGATTTTTCACATAAAAAATAAAAATTTTCTGTACCTTAATTTTTAAAAAAACATTACAAGCCACGAACCAAACAAATCAGCTATAGGCAGAAGTATCTGAAACTCAGACAAAAGTACAAGCTACAATATAAGAGAAGAAATATGAGAGAAATATACTATTTAACTTCAACCCCAAAGCGAAAAAGGGCAGTATGGAAAATGCAAATAAAAGAAGTTGTGATTTTGAAATTTACTTTGACTTTTATTTCACTGCAGACACTACAGCAAACATTATTTAATGTTTAGTGTTTCTTGTTATTATGATTTTATTTTTTTTTTTTAAATAAACAAGTATACCAGTTTTAGGAAACTAGCACTTTTGTGATGACACCGTTTATGCATATTTCAACAAGACAATGAAAAAAACACAATCTGCACACATTACAAAGTCCTGACTGCAAAGGAAGAGGATACAGGTACTTGACTGGCCTGTCTGCAGTCCCGACCTGTCTCTAATAAAAAATATGTGGTGCATTTTGAAGCGCAAAGTGCAACAATGAAGACTCCGTACTGTTGCTCACCTTCAGACTTGTTTACAGGAAGAATGGGACAAAACTCCACCTGAAACACTTCATCACTTGGTGTCTTCAGTCCCTAAATGTCTTTTTAAGTGTTGTGAAAAGAAATGGCTACATTACAAAGTAGTAAATGCTTTATTGTTGCAACATTTTTAAAAATGTGTTTCAAGAACCTAAGAGTACATGTTTAAATAATGTTTGTTCAATTGTCTGCAATGAAACAGGTTAAAGTAAATTTAGATATCACTTAGTTCTTTTTTTCTGTGCGTTTTTCAGACTGTCCTAAATTTTTCTAATTTGGGGTTTTATTATTATTTATTAGACATTGTCGAGTGCCTCTATAAAAAACTTTGATTCAAGTTTATTGCAAATATTTGAATCTCTATGTAAACCTTCATAGAGTATAATTATGGGAGTAGGGGGACCTAAAGATCTATTTTAGCGCACTTTATTTTCTATGACTTTCTGATTGGTGGAATTTCTGTGCAGCATCATGGGTAATGTAGTTTTTTTGTGCACAATTTTTCTCACCATTAATAACGATTGTTTTTTAAACTGATACAACATCATATACAGTTAAACACCGCTTACAACAGATTTAAGTAATTTTTTTTTATTTACTCTTTGTAGAAAATAAATATATTTAAATTTTGGAACTGGTGCACTATATAGCATCATTTAACCTCACTGTGTTATGTACATTTTGGACTTACTAAGATCTTTTTTTAGACTAATATTCATTATCTAATATTCATAATAATTTTAAGTTCAAAATGTTTTCTGAATGTCTAATTTTCTTGTGTCTGATGAATATGTTTGTTTTTATGCGTGTCTGAATGTTGTGTAACAGATATTGTAATCTGTATGTGTTTTGTTTATAGGTTTAGCGCAAAAACGTTTTCGTGTTTGTGTTGTTTAGCAAAATCATTTATTATAAAAAAGAGGATATTGTTTGCAATTGTGACTTTTATGGTTGGCTTTATTTCTTCTTAGTATTATTATTCTTATATTCAATTAATTTGTGTGAAAAAAATACATTGACCTTTGCATAACCATATCAGTGCAATTGTTTTTTATTATTATTTACGTTTTTGAGTGATTTACTGTAAAGACTTTTTTATTTTAGAACGTGTTCATTTATTTATTTTTTGTTAAATAATACAAAATTAATATATTAACAGCTGCTGGAGTCAGGAGGCATTAAAAAAATGAAAAATCACAGTGTTTTGTTTCCTCAACACATCGCTTTATTGTATCTCTCTTAAATATTTGAATCTCTCGTTTCATCTCATCCTCTTCATGTATTCATCGTGTTCGGTGGCTCTATCACAAGAGAGGAGCGAAAAAAGGGAAGGGATGACAGATGGAGCAAGATAAGAAGAAGAAAGGAGCATAAAAAGAAAGAGAAAAATGACAAGAAAAGTAGAAATGAAGGTCAAAGCTGTGGGGAAATCTCCAGGTTTTCATGAGATGTGGTTGGCTAACTAAAATGTACAGAATTTTTAAATATAGATATGTTTAAAAAAGGAAAAAGGTAAATAAATAAACATGAGGCGGTTCTGCTCCTGGGTTGGATGTGTAGAGACGTACACTAAGATTGGCTGTAGGTATTCACAGGAGAGTAGTGGTGTAAAGGGTTGCCAAATATTGACGATTTACTCGTGCACCAGAGCTTCAAATTCTGAAAGAAAATGGCAGGTGACTAGATTAGACAATATTGTTTATCGCACCGGAACTAGTTCTTTACTGTAAAAAGTGATTGGACCCATTGCAACTTGGGAAAGGTTAACTTATTTTTTAAGTTTTATATTCTAATATTAATAAGATTACTTATTGTACACAAAGTTTATTTAATAATTTTGCAACAATGGGTTTACTCACATTTTAGAATCAACTAATCACTTTAAAAGCAAAGTTTACCATAGTTTTACCTACAGACCATATATGAATGTCCAAGAAATAAATATAAATAAATTTATATACATTGAAATACAGTGGGGAAAATAAGTCATGAACACGTCACCATTTGTCTCAGAAAACATATTTTTAAAGCTGCCATTTACTTAAGATTTTCTCCGGATGTTGATAACAACCAAACAAATCCATATATGCAAAGAAAACAAAACTAATTAGTTAATAAATTAAGTTATGTGTAATTAAATGAAATGATGCAGGGAAATAGAATTGAACACATGAAGAAAGGGAGGTTTAAGGCAATGAAAGCTCAGACAGCAGCTGAGATCTCTAAGCAGTTCTTCAGCAACCATCTGCTCTTCCTTATTCTAAATTAATATTAGTTTCTTCAGTCCAACATCTACATTAACAGGAGGATGAAGATGAAACCATAGTGGAAAAATCAGCAAGACAATGATCCAAAACACAGCCAAGGAATCTCTCAAATACTTTCAGAGAAAATAAATCAAGCTGTGGAATGGTCCAGCCATTCCCCTGATCTGAATCCTTTAGAAAATACAAACTAAAGATCAGATTTGATTGATGAGACCCACAGAACCATCAAGATTTTTGGTGAATACCTTCTGCGAGATTTTAGCTGCTGTCTGGTCTTTCGCTGTCTTTCTGCACCTTCATTTCTTCGTGTGTTCAATGCTTTTTTCCTGTCATTCCTTTTTATTACATAAAACTTAAATTGTAAACTGATTAGTTGTTTTCTTTTCATATATGGATTTATTTGGTTGTCATCAACATCTGATGAAAATTTCAAGCCAACAGCACCTTTAGAAATATGTTTTTTTCTGAGAAAATTGTGACGTGTTAAATACTTATTTCCCCACTGTGTATATATATATACCCCCCCCCCCCCCCCCCACTAGTTCTTAGTTTCTTTTTATGGTTAATGTTTCTTTAAGAGTGCTGATTTTCCTACCATCTATGCCAATTTTTCCATCTCCATCCTTATCAGCAGCAGCGAGGAATGCTTTGGTCTCCTTATCGGTAAGATCTCTGCCATCTGCAGAAAAGCCCTTCAGCACAAACCTGTCCAAGAGAAGGGGGGTAAACTTTAATCTGGCAACCTGGGTCAGAAGTTCAACACAACAGTGAGTGAAAATGATAATGTAATTGACCCTTCCCTAAGCACCGCCCTACTTAGTTACTGTTGCTACGCCTATCAAGCTTTCAAGCTTTTCAAGCTTTCCGATAAAGCCAGGCAAAAAAGAACTGCAGTATGCATTGCAGGAGTATATTCATGACATAATAGGCGACTGATTATAGAATAATTTAATTAAAATTAAAGCTAGGTTAGCCTAGCCGCCTCATACGCTGACCATTCAGCAGCTTAGTTCATGCACAGCAGGAGAGGTCAAATTTAGAAATAATCTTATAATAACTAATTAAACCGTGATTTTTCTATTTTAGCCAAAAAGCCTAATGAACTAATTGTTGTGCAATGAAATCAAGCGTTACTAACCAGCAAGGAAACACGCATGGACAGTGCTTCTACATTAATCATTCATAGAAAGAGCAGCTAAAAAGGGGAAATTGATGGACTTGCAACATTGCAATATCCTAATATTAGCATCATTGACCCATAACAATATACAGTAAGTTACCTATTTCTGTCAGTATGTGTGTGTGCTCTTTATAAATTTATGAAAAACAGCTGCCGATTAAGTGTATTGATCGCAAATGCTCAGATTGTAGGGATGTAACGGTATCAGAATTTCACGGTACGGTAATACCTCGGTATGAATGTCACGGTACGGTATTTATTGAATCATTTACAGGAAAAACAAAACTTATGAAAATACTCCAAAAAAGTGCCAAAAGTGTCAATGACATACAAATTAGCCATCTATCTGTAAGCTTTGAAACAGGAACTTCAATTTTAATAACTAAAAAATATTAAACCATGTAAAAAAATAAAGTTTCAATTTAGTATTGTTGAAAACTCATCACATTCAACATTTAATCACTCACTCACTTAGATAGAGATGGCTTTTAAGGAAAATTATCATATAAATATAATCTGGTAAAAGCTGGTATCTCTGGGTATTTACAATGTCCCCTGCAACAGAAAAAAACCCTCTCATTTGGGACTGAGGTTTCTGGGACAGGGATATGACTTGGCCCAGGTTGACAGCAGTGGGTAACGTTGTGCATTGTCTTTCCCCCACTTGAGAGGACAAACCATGAGTGAGGTAGAGGTCTCTTTGCAGTACAAGTCAATGTCTGCATCAATCTGAACAGTGTGCTGTGTTTCTGCAGTCCC